CCAGTTTGAGTTATGAAACGTTCCAAAAATGGATCACTAGGCAAAATGATTGCCTTCTAGTAACGTAGTAAATAAGATGCAGTTCTTTGTCCGAATATGCTTATAATTACAACTGTGGGTGCTATTCAACTGAACACTTCATATGGAAGGCATCACATTTTTCACATCGAAATGTGTGTTTGCTTTTCTTGATTGATTAGTAAGCTAAAAATAACCGACATGTGACCGCTGTTCCGATAACGGAACACTAGGCATAAATGGGTTAAAGTAGAGCGATCTACAGCCTACCACAGACTATCATCCAACGGACGAGTACACAATTAGGAGGAAACCTAGTTGAGAGTAGGCTGCTCCCGAGTTGTAACAAAACGCATATTCGATCGTATTCCTCTGTTCAGCTATTCACCAAGATATCCCAGAGACAATCAATGTCACCATTAGAACTTCCGTTTTTACAAGTCGGATGTCAGCATCCCACGTTCGAGGATTGGCCATCCTGGGTGTTCTGCAGGGCAGAAAATTAGAAGGGACCAACGGCAAAATGGCTCAAGCATCTCATATGTAATCCATTGCCCACACAGGACATGGAACTTTCCATCCATTCAGCTGACTCTCACTTCCTCCGTTCTGTTATTGTTACTCATGTGTTGTGGCACTCTGCCAAATGTTTATTGGGCAAGTGTTATATATATATATATATATATATATATATATATATATATATATATATATATATATATAATCCATTCATTTTGAAATTGCGCAGATGCGTTGACCTATCAGTATGCGAGTCCGTCAGCAAACGGTGTTGGTTTAAATCCTACGGTTCAAACCTACCCGTCTTCTTACTCCTCCTCCTCTTACGCTATTCCCACTTATCGTCCCGTTCCAACTTCACTTTTATCTCCCCTGTTTTTAACCCCACAATTCCTGGCCCTGCCCACCTTGCTATGATGGGCGTTTAGCTTGTAGTTTCAACTCACATGCAAACGCGGAGTATCATTCCTGTCCTGTCAACAAGCCCATGTCCAACAAAGCGGTCCACTCCAGTTAATCGGCTTCCATGTATAGCTCTCGATCATCCTTCAGATTGGTATGTCTCAATGTACGCACATTGCTACAGATCGGTCAACAGACAGCATTTGTCCGAACAATAGGGACCCACGCGATCGATATCTGCAGCTCATCGGTGACCCGCATGCAAGCCTCAAGTTCTGTGCTCACTCTGCGATTTCCTTCAGGTGACACCAGCAGTATTTTCTCATTGCGCCTATCCGATGACGATGCAGCCTCGAGCACTGGCCAAGCCGGTGTTGGTATTGCCATGAGTACCCATGCTGAAGCTGCTCTGGTTGATTGGATCCCAATCAGTTGCCGGTTGTGTGCGGTCCGATTGGCTGGCTCGTTCAAAGCAGGGGACCAATAGGTGTCTGTTCGTCATCGCTGCCTACGCGCCCACAAACTGTTGCGATGATTCGGTAAAACACGACTTCTATCCCTAACTACACGAGCTCCTCCGCCACAGAAGAAGTACTGTCGTCCGATTTGGAGCACATGCGTGGACACCAACCAAGCACTTGTATGTGCTGACATGCGGATGCGTTTCGGCGGAATCCCACGACAACCCTGTGAAAGCATTGACGCCAGCCAACTGGCGAAGCCAGTTGTCCTGAATGAATATTGAAATACTCTGACTTGCAGGTGAAATAAGCGATCAGTGAATACAATTGAAGCTCAATGGTTGCATGTTCACTAGACCTTACTGGAAACAGGCCAATCCTCATATCGTTAGTCCAATCGCCAACATGGACATTGGGTCACTACGCAGTCTCTGGAACTTATCGATGCTCGCCGGCACATTCCGGCTGGAAGCAAACACAGTGAGACTCGCAGAAAACTCCGTGCTAGCATGAAGACAGAAAGCGAATCTTGGTGGTCTCATCGTGCTTCGGAGATGAAAATGGCCACTGCCACCATCGTTATTCCGGCTGATACGGGAAATGGGCAGCAGGAGACGTGGTGAAAATATACGCGACGAGCGTGAACAGCCTATCCACAACTTGTCAAAACGCATGGAGCGTTGGGCTGAGCACTTTGAAAGGCAATTTAGTCGGTCGACATTGTCAGATTTCTCGCCGGCCGCTGATCGCTCTGCTACCTGGACTATCCTTTTGGATCTGTCCTCTGGTTCAGAAGTCGAACGTGGGATCGGACTGTTGAAATTGAATAAAGCTGCGGGACCAGATGCTCTTCATCCAGCACACTTAAAATTCGGGGGCTTTAACTTGTGGATGATTTATAGGAGTCATTAGTGAAACTGTGAGAGCAGGAAACTGTTTCAACCGATTGGAGCATAGTCCCAATTCTCAAGGGAAGCTCACGATCGGAACGCGGCAACCATAGAGGAATTCGTATGACCTCCATCGCCTCCAAATTGCTTCCATCTGTCATCCTTCACAGACTCAATGGCACTCGTGAAAGCCAGATTCGTGAAGAGCAAGCGGGGTTTCGTCGAGGTCGTGGCTGCATCGACCAAATTTTCACTTTGCTGCAGCTGTTGGAGCACCGTCATATATATTGGCGGCCCACCGTTGTCGTGTTCCTCCACACCAAAGGTGTCTTCGATTTTGTCGCTCTATGTGCCCTTTGGGACTGTCTACTCAGGAAACATGTGCCCGAGAAATATGTAAATATTAGCCGAGCATTATACGCGCGTCGCTTGAGCTGAGTGAGTGCTTACGGCAAGCTGTCGCCGCCCCTCAATATCTCCAGCGGTGTGAGACAAGGATGGCCGCTGTCACCTTTCCTCTTCAATTTTGCTATTGACGAAGCTATGCAGATCGCGTTCACAGGACACGACTTAGGTGTGGAGCTGCTCCCAGGTGAACGAGATTTTGATTCGGAATACGCTGATCACATTGCCCTAATCTGTGACAGCTCGTAAACGTGCCAAACAGCACTGGACAGGTTAGTAGTGGTTGTCAGTTGTTTCGGGATTTGCGTTGCACCCTCAAAGTGCAAAGCTTTCCTCCAAGGGACCGCCTCCTGTGCTTACCCTTGCTTGGGATCAGCTGGTAGTTGTACAAAAATTCAAATACCTGGGAAGTTGTATCAGGTCCCTTGGGATCGAAGATGATATCACGAAAAGTATAGCAGAAGCTCGAGACGCTTTTGCTAACCTTCGCGACCCGTGGCGTCTGAGTGAGGTCACTCTCTCTGAGGAGTAGAGTTTACAATTCAGCCGTACGTTCGACCCTACTTTACGGTTGTGAAACCTGGCCCCTTAAATCAGCCGACATAAGGAGGCTAGTTACGTTCGACCATCGATGCCTTCGCAGTTTGGCTCACATCTGTTTGGAACACCGAGTGAACAACGAGCGTGTTCGGCACAGGAAAAGGAAATGAACCGCACAGCACCGTGATTTCACGCACCAAGTTCCAGGCTTGGTCACGTCTAACGCATGCCAGAACACCGACTCCCGTGTCGTGCGTTGTTTGCGCACTGGGGCTGTGGATGGATGACCAAGCGAGGACTTGGTCGAGAAGAATGAAGACCGTCACTTCGAAGCTGGCTTCGGTTGGAGTGTCGGCTCCCTGGTTGGGGTCCGAAAGACTGTGAACACGTTTGGCTGGATACACTTGCTGACATGGCTAGCCTCCCCCTCCAATCGCGATCTTATTGTTTAACATAACATAATTTTGTATAATATTCTTTTGCTACATAGTAGCAGGCTGGTAGCTTTCCGGAACGATGCCCCTCCGTTACTAGTAGCTCAGCTCGCATGCATCTGTTGCATTATTTTTCTTTTATGTAGTGTGGCACAGTAATCGAGGCATTTTTCGCCACTAGCTAACGTGCATAATGATGATGTTCACGTGCCGGCGAGGTGTCTGCACTGGGTTTCAACGTACCGAAGATATGCTGTGGTACGGTCAAAGGTATTGTGTGGACCAGTGAATCGGCCACAGTGTGCCGAAAAAGTTACAAGACTGACCGTGTTTGACCATCGACGTTTGGGATGTGTTGCTTATACCTGGTGGGAGAACAGAATGCTGAAATTGATCAGCTGTTTGTTAACGGCCTCTTCGGTGCACTGGTCGAGTGCCTGATGAACTTGTTGTTAGGTTTTGGTTAGTTCTATGTGAGTTGGGTAATTTTGCTGCTTTAATGACATTAGAGCACCGATGAAGTCAACTCGACTGATGATGAAACGTTGCAGTAAAATTACCCAGCTCGGAAAACAAACCAAAAGCTGGACAGCCAATCCGAGCTACAGAGAGTCCGATTGACTGAGAACTCCAATCTGCTTTGGTGGCTCGGTCACGTGTTCTGCGTGCCCGCAGGCCGACTGCCTCAGGAAGTATATTTTGACAACGATACCGCAAATGGGCGCAGGGAAACTCACTGACAGTCTGTATCGGGTCGGAACCTGTTGTACACTCGGATGCAGTCTTTGGGATCCGCCACATAAGTGGGTGGTTGTCTTATCGGACATGGGGCAGTCATTAAATTCACGCCGATCTTGCACTTATTCCATTCCAATCTGACGATAGTAATTCTGGCCCATTTCGCTGATTTATCAGGATTATTCCGACGAATTGTGTTAAGTAATAATATGTGTAGTAGTAACATGTGTCAGCTGTATGCCGTAACGGCGCTTCGCTGCCGCGCGACCCCATCAGTCGCGCGCGGGCTGAGTATACCGCGAAGACGCCCACCCCTACGCGGATTCGAACCGGTGACCTTATGGTTGCAAACCAAACGTGCAGACCACTCGGCCACCGGCCGACAAACGGATCAATCGCACTTCGGTTTACGGATCACAGTCGACAAAATGGACTACAATGTCACAAAGAGATTTTGGGATTACGTGCAAATCACTGCAGCCCATGTATTTGGCATGCAATTTGCTGAGGATCAAGAGATGATACGGTAACAACGCAGAGAACCGTCCTTAACTGTCGTTATAAGCAGCATAACGAAGCAAAGTTCAACTCACGGATTGAAACCAGGAGAAACATTGCTGCAGTAGGCTGACGGAGGTCAGCCCCCCATCACCTGTGGCCAAGTGTACGCATAGTAAATCTTCCTTCAACTGCACATTGTCCTGAATGCAATGGGAGAATGCGATTGAAGAGAACCAAGAAGAGGGGGCGTCGTTGGAGAACAATCCACCGCACAAAAGCTGACCGACGCTGATTGGTGCGGACGCTAAAATGGTGATAGATGTGTTGATAGTGCCAGGTGATATTTTCTGTGAGTTTGGACAGCATAGGTAAAATGACGCTGGTATCAACAAGCTAAACTGTTGGCGAGAGTACGATATGATGCGATATTCTGGGCAAAGCTAATTGGGTAGGTCCCGAACACATCCAGTAAACGGGGACGCTTAAAAACTCCGGAATAAGTATGAAACGAGGTCGATATTTGTTGTAGCGCCTACATGACTGGAATCGTGCCTGTCCCGCACCGCATCTTGCAAATGATTGTATGAGCGTCATTGATGGATCAATATCAAGATCATTTCATCTGTACCTTACCTGACTCACTTTTGTGAATAGAGTGTTCAGGGCGTGCCCGCCCCGTGTTCTGTTCTCCTTAGTGGGTTCCGCCTGTAGTGATTCAAGACCCTGCTTGCGCAGGGGCTAAGAGTGCGTATTGGGATACAACATTGGCGTCGCGCCTGCGAATTGCTACAATATCATTCCACCTTCCACTCCCGGACGCATTCTGGTGTGATTCAAGTGTCAAGCCTACTGAGAGCGTCAAGTGTCAAGCCTACTGATAGCGATTGGATTCAATGGAAAATATCTTTGACAAATTAATGGACTTACTGCCGTCAAGTGCTACTTACAATGATGCCTAAAAGTTGAAACTTCTCGGGCGCCACTAGGAAACGACGGCCAGCTTTACTTTGATGCATTAGAACTGCAAAAAGTAGACACGCTCACAAAGGCGGTAGAAGTACTGGATGGGTCTTGGGGCGCCCGACCTAATGTCTTTACTGAACGTTACAAATTCTGTCATTTGAGACAAGAGGACTCAGAGCCCCTGGAACACTTTGTTTCCCGTTTGATCCGTGCGGTAAAAACATGCGATTACTCCAGCATTCCAAAGAATAGAGTTGAAGCCAGCATCACTGATCAGCGCATACGAGAAACGCTACATATGGAAGATCTCTCGAAGCTTTCCTGGGATAGAGCCATAGATATCGCTAGGCACAAAACAACTACCCTTGGACAGTCATGCCTGTTCACGACCAAAGAATCACTCGATATCAGCGAGCTTCGGAGCATGAATTCTACGCCATCTCAGAATGTGCCTGTCTTGTGTTTTCGATGTGGAAGTTCTCGACACAAAGCAGATTGTCAAACATGTCCGGCCCGTACAGTAGATTGCAAAAACTGTGGTAAGCGGGGCCATTTAGCCCGGTGTTATCGCTCCCGCCGCGTAGTACTAGTTGAACAACCATCGACTGAGTCTCCTTCTGCGTCTGCTACGGAAAATAATTTTGCGGTCAGAAAGCTTCGTCAGCCAGACAATCGGCAAACATCCTTGATGGAGCCCAAGCTCCCTTCCCCTCACATTCGCAGAGTTATGCTCCACGGCCCCACAACACCACTGTGCCACTTGCGATGGAATTAGATTGCATCGCCAATAACAATCATTGCATCTAGCCTTGATGACAATTACTTACATGACATTCCATTGCATTCCACTTCGTACAAGGTTGGCTGTTACACCAATGTCCCCGTGTGCATCCGTGGATATATAGTGACGAAAGTCTACAGTTGGTCGCATCCGATGTTGCTGTGTACGTGGCATCCGAAGACAGCCTAGCATCGCTGGGCGAAATGCTATGGTTGCCCTTAACATGACGCCAGCTATCGATCGAATGCGCATCATGGCACTCAATGCAGCAGTGCTCAAAGGTTTATATCCCAAATTAGTTACTGAGACGATTGGCCGGATTCCATCTGCGGCTCATCGCATCTGCCTTAAACAGGACGCTAAGCCGTTTTCTATATCGCAACCACGTAATATCCCATTGGCGAAACGAGCGATGGTGTAGAAAGCCATACAGGAGATGGTATCCAACGATCTGGTAGAGCCAATAGGTGCGTCTCATGGTCACGGTCTTAAAGAAGGACGGTACTGTGCACATATGCAATGACTTGAAGGAGTTGAATAGTCAGATCGTCGTCGAAAAGTTCGTTCTTCCCATAGTCGATGAGTTGCTAGTCATGATAACTGGCGCACAATTTTTCTCAAAAGTACACCTGAAGGATTTTCTCCACATGTCATTGACACCAGATTTGAGACCACTAACGGTTTTTCCGACATCAATCGGTCTGTGCCAGTATAAAGTTTTGTCAATGGGGCTCAGCTCTGCTTCCACAGCTTGGCAGAAGTTCATGAATCCCTCACTAGCAGATCGACCGGGACAAGTCGCTTACATGGATGATATTTTCGGGCCTTCAAGAGAGGAGCACAACTCAAGGTTACCCGCTGTATTACATCGGTTGGAGAGCCTAGATCTTCGGCTTAATCATGAAAAGTGTACATTTTTTGCTACTGAAGTCGAATTCCTTAGTTAGATCTTATCATCCAGTGGAATCTGACCATGCGCCGCTAACACTCGGGCTACCATAGAAGCCCCCCTACCGAAGAATGCATCCGAGATTAAGCATTTTCTTGGTCTATGCTCGTACAACTCACACTATTTGCACGATTTTGGTACCCTAGCGGAGGCCTTGAGAATACTGACAAAGGAAGATGCCACCTTCGACTGAGGCTCTGAACAGCAGTCTGCCTTTGAAGAAATTAAAAGACGCCTCGTTTCTACACCAATACTGGCCACTTTCGATGAAAACTGACCTACGTTCGTCTCGACGGATGCGTCAAACATCGGTTTAGGAGCGGTCCTGCCGCGGATGCAGAACGGAGAGGAAAAAGTGATTGCGTATGCCTACAGGAAATTATCTCCTACAAAGGTTTCCTGCTCTGCTGGTGAAAGGAGACCTTCGCCTGTGTCTGGAATTGTGAAAAATGGCTCCCTGTTGCTGTTTGGTCAGAGGTTTACATTGCGTACGGATCATGCTGCTCTAACTACCCTCCTCCGTCGATGAACCAATGGTCACAAGCCACTGCGGATTAACCGCTGGTATGCGCGTTTACTGAACTATGATTACCAAATTACACTCCGCCCTAGCAGATAGTTTATTACGTCTTCCACTGGACGATTCCGATAAGAATGAGAACGACGAAGAAAAAGTTATGGTTTCCGCTTTACATTCGTGTGAGCTTTCTGCCGTAACTAAGCAAAGGTTTCAAGAAGTTAACCAAAGTGGTCCAAACCTACAAGACGTTTTCCGATACCAGTCTCAAGGCTGGCCTCGCTACACGAATCGCAGTGGTGAAATACAGGCGTTTAGGTGTTACGAAACGGATTGGCGGTCATTGATGGTTGCCTTATGCGAGGATCGAGATTCGTGGCTCCACAAAGACTAACACCGAAAAGTATCTAATGTGCACCTGAGTGACACCTGGATATCGTACGAACGAAGCGCCGACTGCAAGAACAATTTTGGTGGCCGAAAATGAGTAAAATGGCGGAGACGTGTGTCTAGTCATGCGATGAGTGTCAGAGCGCCGACAACGGCTATAAGCCGATCGATGCGCCTATCCAACCTATCGTTTAGCCAATGAAACCTTGGCAGAAGGTGGCGACTGACATCATGGGACCGTTCCATTTTGTACCGCAGCACCAGAAAAACTGTTTAGTAGCCACGTGCTTTTACATTAAGTGGTCTGAGATCCACCTTTGTGGCGATGTGAACACTTGAACCGTTATAAAGTGGCTGAAGCATTTGTTTCCCAGATTTGGGCTTCCCGAAGAAACTGTGACGGACAACGGACCGCAATTCACAAACCATGAATTCCGACATTTTCTACAACTTCACGATGTGAAACACGTACGAACCGTCTGTCCCGTACAATCCAGCTGCCAACGGAACGATTAAGTGCACAAATCGCTCGCTAAGGAAAAGAATAGAGACAGCAGTTTGTCCGACATGTATTGGAAAGATGCCGTAGTCGATGCTCTGCTTACCCACAGAACGTCGCACCACAGAGCGATCGATCGCACGTCAGGGGAGCTAATGTTCGGCAGGAGGCTACGCACGAAGTTAAACACAGCTATTTCGGCTACGGAAACCAGGGATACCTACCAACTGGGGGTCGGCGATGTTATCGTTCCTCCTACAAAAACCAATCCCTACCGTTGCGTCCTGGAACATTAGTCCGGCTAAAGGAAAGGCAGACACGTAAAGGGCAGTCAACAGTATCGCGTCCAATAAGCAGTACCAGGACATTAGGGCTAGGCACGTAGGAGTTTGCAGACGGCCGCCATATTAACGCCAGACAGCTTTGGTCAGTCCTTCAACCGAACGCACAGTCAATGTCAATAAACGAGGTCCAAAGCAGGAGGTTTAGCGGCTCAATTATCATTCATGATGATGCGCTCATTTAGGGAGGGGGTGTTGTAGCGACTACCGCAACTTCCAGCCATGTCTGTCACGCCACGCATCGCAGTCCGCAAATGAGTGGATGAGCGTCATGGACGGATTAATATCAGGGTCATTGCGCCAGTACCTTATCAATCACACTTGTTCGAATAGTGTCCAGAACCTATCCGCCGCACGTTCTGTTATCGTTAGTGGGTGCCCCCCGAAGTGATTCAAGACCCTGATTGTTCAAGGGCCTAGGGTGCGTATTGGGATAGAACAATATCCTCGAATGAGAAGAACCCGATATAAGCCCCTAGGTGGAAAAAGTTACTTGCAAACTGAATCCAGTAGAGTTCTCAAACAATGCGATGACCGATTGACACTAAGAATATAACGTGATGAACGAGAGACGATATATCTAGTGGTCACATATCTGTAACTTGAACGCTAAACGCTGCGCAATGGAGGAATGTATAAGGGAAACCAGATTAGGTGAAAGATGAAGAAATTGACATTATAGTCAAACTGCGATTCCTCAGTAAACACAGGAGGTTGGGCACAGTATTTGGGTTAATACACGAACAACGTAAAGTCGGCAATGATCAGAAACAGCGAACAGAAAGAGGATGAAGGATGGAGGAAATTTAAGTAAGCCGAAAACGGTCGACTTGAAGTGGAATCGTTGGTCCCGTTGATCAGGCGGAACAAAAAACAGGGAACAATCGGGGGACCCGGGATCTGATGTGGAAAAAATGTCGAAAAGAGATATTCAAAGCATGGTGATGCTCACAATCACCATCGCTAAATAAATTAACTGGTAATGTCTGAAGAAATCAGACATATATCTAGCGTCAGGACCGGAAAAAGTATGAGAACTGGTTAAAAACAAAATTTCATAAAAGTGGACCGAATAGTATGACAGTAAGACAACGGTAAGTGGTCAGGAAAATGCGACACCGTATATTGCATAATTATATACGCGAGTGACCGTAATTACCAAAGAGAAATTGCACATGTGAGAAGGTAATTCCCGTCGCCTATGACGTAGAGTTGAAGGAACACATTCCGACTAAGGTGGAGATATCTCTGTATTAGTCCGAGACATAGAAAAAACGCGATTAGAGGTCCTGGTAAATAAAAATACCTTCGGGTGGTCTTGATAGCATGGATGTGACGATTGCCGACTGCATTTTCGTGTTGGAATGTACATAACACTGGAAACAGTAGAGAGCTGCCGTTCGAACTGTCAAGGCTTGTCGTTCGTTTACCATGGAAATCAGGAGGATGGTGATGATCGGTTGGGGTGGCTCGGATGGTGCAATCACCTGGGTCAGATAGTCTTGGTTGACTTGACATCCACGAACAGTGTCTGCGAGCGTGTAGATGGCTTTCGTAAGGACATCCGATGGAACACTATTCGTCATTATGATCCCACACAGTTTAGAAAGCAGTCCACAGTTATACATGTGAGTTTGGCAGAGGCGGGTGTTTTGACTTTTGTTTCGAGGGGAAACCAAGGCTCGAATGACCTTAAGGACAAAAGCATCGCAGAAAACAGTGTCATTTGAGTCTCTCCATCAAAAAGGTGCAGTCTGGCGTAGTTGTGCGAGACGATAAAACAGGTGGAAATAATTTATGGAGGATATAATGGTGGCCATTTCGGTTTGAGGACAGAAGATGCTCTCATGCCTATGATTATTGTTGTGTGGTAAAGCACTGCTGGCACCGGATGACACCAGCGTGAGAGCAAAGATAACGCGCCGACAGTTACTAGACGGCGGTGAGCACGTTGGTCCATTTGAACAACAAATAAGTTAGAAAAAGTTGCGTTGCCTTAGGCATATGCTACGTAGGTCCGGCCACTGGTTACTAAGGGCAGCCTAGTTTTGATACCGATATGCTGAGTAGCACAAGGCTCCAAGTTGACAAAAGTTGATTTGATGGCGGGAAATGAAGGCAGAGGCGTCAGAAATGGCAGCTGCAGCTCAAACTCACTTTTCTTTCAGGTTGTTCACACGATTCACCTGATTCTTGGCTCGCGACATTACAGGACATGGTTTGCAGTCCAACTCACTGGTGCGTCTGTTGTTGTCTCCTAGTGAGGCTGCACATCTATAGTGTGAGATGCTGAGGTGTCCATAGGGTTACCTTGACTGTGAAGAGGGGCGGTGAAGGCCGAAAATAAGCTGTCTCGTCAATAGCACGTTAACCTGCTGTTGGTGACCTGCTGTTGTTGATGAGATGCTGGCACAATGACATTGAACATTTGCTTAGAATAGTTAGGCATGATACTAGGCTAAATTCTCGCTCACTTATTGCTCAATACTAATAAGTAGGGTGAAGTTGATGACATTTTGCTGATTCATTCGATAGTGCACAAATCCGTAAAAGCACCATGGCTGTTTCACTCTAGTGAGAATCTTCAGTGGTGCGCATCCCCTCAGTCCCTTTTAAGGAAGTTGAACCAGTGACCGCTAGCAGCTTGCGCCAAATAGCGAGCTGATTATGCCACTGAGTCACTGTAGGACCGTCATAACTTACAAGCTAACTGGGATATGGCGCAACCTAAGCTCCAGGTTACTATCATTGTAGGGGACACTGGGTAAGCCCCAGAGGTCACGACTTCCAATACACAGCAGTTATGTACGCATGACATTTGAAGACCGTGAGGGCGAATCTTTGAATACTAATGAGTAGGAAAATTTTGATGAAATTTTACTGACTCGTCACATAACCGTTGCTTAGCAGCGAAATGCGAGGCAAAAGTAGTGAGGTACTTCGGTGCTTATTGGATGGTCATTTTGAAGTACTTGTTGTGTGATTGGAATGGGACAGGCAATCTCAATGTAGAACGCGATTCCCACTGAAGTAAAAGTTGGTCAGATCGACCACTGCCTACTTCATCAGTTACAGTCCCAGCGATCGATTTGGCCAAGGTTCACTTGAATGTGAATCGCGGTCTACAGTGATATTGTGCGTCGCAATCCATCCCCACAACATGTACTTCAAGATGATTCTCGAATCAGTCATTAACCGTTACGCCAAGTATGCTCATCGTGAGTTGATGGATAATGGGGTAGCAGTTGCGGTTATTATCCCAATGGTCGTAGTGTGCGGTGTTTTCGAACGGCCAAGACCCAATATCTACCTACTAATATGCTTGATTTTGTTGGGATTCCACTGTCCGAAAAATGTAAAGCAAAACTCCAGGTCACAGTAAGTGTGGAACGGAACTGATGGAAATTTGGCGCGAAGATAGAAAACAAGCGTGGCGTACGGTCGCCTAACTCTTCGCAGCATGACAAAATATCTTAACAAGTCTCGGCCATTGACAAGCCATACTGGAATGATTGTAAGAATGACGATTTTCCCACCATAAACGATCATAACTAACTTACTCCTTCATCGGTCTGGTTAGAATACTGTGGGATTAACGTGAAGTAACGAGGCACAAAAGAGCGTCCGATAGTATGACATTGTTACTTCATCCTAGTTAAGATGGATGCACGTGTGGAGAAAATAGCCGTTAAGCCAACCTTCGGCACAGTGAAAAGTGTTGCCACAGAGTTATTAAGGAGGGCAAGTAGTATAACTTGGAGTGCAAGACGAGAGCTTAACAGAGGATCTGATCAAGTTCCAAGGCAGAGTAGATGATTCCTGGAGGGAACAACAGCAACAACAACAACAACAACAACAACAACAACAACAACAACACCCTTTGGACCACAAGCTTCTGGTGTCAGGACTAAATGACCAAGCGCACAAGCGCAACAAATTGATCAATGTGTAAGACTCACTTGCATGGTTAGGTGGACATTGACTATCTTCTGAGTAAGCCAGTGCGTTTGGTGGTCATCACCATCTAATTTGGAATCCAACAGAGGCAAAAGGCGCTGAACGAACCCGTTCTCCTTGAACAAAATCTGATTCGCGGAATTTCCATCGAGCAATTGGAAGAGAAGGTTCAAACAGTCTTCAACCACAACACCACCGTCACTCCACCCCTCGGATTGCATGATGATAAAGAGACGCTCGAATGTGTTCTCAAACGCAACTATCTTTTGAATGGTCACATGGGATTTTGTGAGTTCCAACAGCAATAAAAGAGCCTAAATTGAAAGCGGAGTCAAAGTGAAAACAGAAAATTCAGCCGATAAGAAGAAACGAGCAAATAATTGTGAGTAGCGAAAGTCATCTGTGAAATACATTGCGGTGCGCGGAAGAAATAAAAGTCAAGAGTGGAAGCAAAACCGGTTCCAACACTTTGAGTACATGTAAAATACCGCTTTAACCAGAAAAGTCAAAGAAAAACGACTGAATGCAATGAAACTTGTACCAAACCCTTAAAATGATGGAAATCAGTGTGAAGAAACCGGACATCAGGCAATTGATTTGCTTCACCAGTAATGGTAGTAGCTTAAGTTCCTACGCACTCGGTAACAAGATCTAGTGCTGCAGTACTTCGCGTTGTCAAGATGTATATACGCTACAGTGCAAGCGTTGACAACAGAGCTGCTTTTTGTTTTAGAAGCACCATGGTGATGCAAAGCACAGGCCGTAGGATTTCTAGAATCGGCCGAAAAACGCACCAGACACGTGTACGTGGGTCATTCAGAGAAATCCGTGATTTTTAGTAGTCTAAGCCCATGATGAAAGTGGTGGGCGTAGCAGGAACTGATAATTGTGTCTTGTTACTGCTGAGATACGTCTGCATATTGCAGTATTCAAGGTGGCGGACAACAGGATGGCTTCGCACACGGAACAGCGTGTTATCGTGAAGTTTGTACAGAAAGAGGGCATGAAATCCGCGGAAGTATACAGAAGACTTCGTTGGCACGGTGGCAGTAAGGCATCTGAGTGGTGCAGCCAATTCAAAGATGGCTGTATTTTTGTCCCGCATGATCCTGATCCCGGGGGAACTCCAGACCATCGCTGTCATTCCTGGAAAGATTCAGCGTGCTGAACAGCCTGTGGTGAAATTGCAAGCGTATTTAGGTTTTTGTTGGGAATATTAAGCATAATAATACAAGATGATTTGTTGTTTTGAAAAGTAAGTGGCACTTGGGTTCCAAAAACAACTCTCATCGTCTGACTGATCCATATGAATTGAACTCAGCGCTGAACTGGACGACCGTAATGGCATGGGGGCAAGTAGATCCAAGATCGCATTGTCACGTGTGACGTAACACGGGCTCACCACTTCACTATCGAGCCGAAAAGAGCTTCGAAACGGTGGATACATGAGAAGTCACCATCGATAGAGAAATTGGGAACGGTGGCAGTAGACAAAGTAGCGACAGGTGTTTGTTGGAACAAACAATGGAACAATGGTGCATTACGGACAAAAAGCAATTGCTTAGTAAGTCCCGTAGGATAGCCAGAATGAGAATCACAATATGATGAGTAAAAAATAATGATAAAATGAAAATCGTTTTGGTGGACTTACCATAATGTTCATACACAGTCATGCGTAAAAGAGGCTATATCTCGTAATGTAGGTGGATTAGGGCAAGGTCAATGCGTTTTTTAAACACAGGTAAAGTGGGGGCGAAAACAACGTAATTTTGGAGGGCGTTCCATAGCTGGCACACACGAAGAGAGTAAAAGCTTCGCCGACATTCTATCCGACTGTATGCATGGCCAAGTTGAGCTGGTGGTCCCTAGAATTCGTGTTGTGGCTCAGTTATAGTAGGTGGCGGCAGAGGTGGTTAAGGTTCCTTAGAAGTTGGTAGGCCATAATAAAATCGTCACGTAGGCGCCGTTATCGGCCATTGGATAATTTGAAGGTCCTCAGTCTAAGTTCATAAGGAATATTGGATAACGTGCTTTGCGGCTCGTCGCTGTAGAGTCTCGAGCGTTGCAAGGTCTTGCTTTTGCTAGGGCTGCAAGGCCTAGATCGCGTATTCCACATGAAGCCGCACGTAGGTGTTAAGCAGTTGCGAACAGACAGAGGGATCAAACATCCCGAATGCCCTCCGCAGCATGCTAACGTTATGGTTCCCAGTCATTGACGCTTTCTCAGATTGTTCTGAGCAATCCAGATCAACCGGGACTAGTACCCCGATGTCGCGCTCCTAGGTGACTGCTACAGGACATAATCTCCAAGCTTGTATGTAATGCTCGGCTGGTGGCGAATGTGAACAACCTCACACTTTCCCGCATGGAACTGGAGCAGATTGTGGAGTGACCACCCATACGCTCAGTCCAGATCTGGCTGAAGTGCATCGTAAACTTTTGGGTCGAAGATCGTCCGCTACAGCATAACAAGATCTAAGTAATCAAAAGCGTAAGCTCGTTACGGAACACGAGCAACGAACACGGCATCAGAACTGATCCTTGTGGAACTCTACATTCGACAAGAATCGAATCGGGTAGCGCACTTCGGACTTAGACCTGCAGCTTCCGATGCTCCAAAAATTTCTCGTCCACCCAGGGACAGAGGATCCACAACACCGTAGCTTTCGAGCCGGTGAAGCAAAAAGCTGGCGGTCGCAAATTGTAGAGAAAAGTCAAAGTAAATGACGTCGATCCCTCACCACTTGTTGGCGGTTTTCACCCAATTACCGTGCACTCAGCAGGTTGGTTATGCATGACGGGTGCTAGCGGAAAGCATGTGGCTCGGGTGCTACGATGTTGTGGCGTTCTAGATAGTCGATTGAAGTCTCAGCGGTAATTGCTTCCATCAACTTTGAGAGCACAGGGAAAAGGACCACTGGGCGATGGTGTGCGGGCTTCGAGCGACCGCCACTTTATAAATTGGCGTGATCAGACCTTGTTTCCAAATGACAGGCACCATTTATTTATCCAAGCACGTTCGTAAGAAATGCGACAATAGCCTGTCCAACGTTGCTGCTGCTGCTGCGTTCAGCCCCTTCGGGTGAATGGTATTGATTCTAGGATATTTGTAGATGAGCAATGAGAGTAGGCTAACATATATGCGGCGGTAAACGCGATGTAAGTAAGTCATGAAATTGGGGCTATGTATGTGAATTATTCATGTGCAGTTTTGCCACGTAGAGCAGCTATCACCGGTAGATACTACCACCGTGTCCTGCATGGCGCACACAAGAAACTATGAAGAAAAAGGCCAGGTCTGACCACAAACGGTGTACCGTTTCAGTAGAACAATCCAATACCTCATACCGCTCAACGCAAAATGCAAATACTACGGAATATCGGCTGGGAGTTGTCTCGTCATTTTGATAGCCCTGAACTAAAGCTAAGTGATTTCAGTCTGCTTGGTCCCTGTTGCAGAACTTAGTTTTTCAGGGACTCAGCGAAAATTACAGCATGTTGGCAAACCAAACTCACGGATATAAATTGCCCCAGGCACTTCCATAGCTCACGATCCTTAGAAGTCGATCATGTTCCTTCTTTGACTCAGTTAACCAAACAGTGAGGAACCCATATGAACATCAGCAAATCCATGTCCAGCAATCGAATCCGTCAGGTCCGTCTCCCATCGCTTGTCTAGGTCAGTCTTTTGATTCATCCGTTCCTTCTGAGAGGACACTCTATTCACAGACTTGAAAGAATTTCGCGGTCAACACTTCTACAGCAATGACGAAGTGAAGCAACCTGTCCCCAACGGGTTCAAACACAACAAACTTTTGTGTGTTGAAGCCTTGCAAGCATTTGTGAAACACTAAGATAAGTAGATAACTAGCATGGGGATATAATGTCATATAAAGGTAACGGCCGTTTCCGGAAACCTGTAATAAAATCGCCGCGGATTGACAGAATCATCTTCGTATACTAAAAGAAGAATCACAACAATTGTGAGCACTCTAATAGTGAAGGTGGTGAATAACCAAAGGGCCAAGACTTACGTCATTTCGTAGAGCCTCACGCGGATCAGACAACAAGTCGATAAGCTTGGATATGGCCCGGGGACACTGTAGAATGACCTTCTGCGTTTCTTTCAGCTGATTGTTCAGTAGCACTGTGAGCAACCGCAGCGCGCTGCGGCGTATATGCACTTCGTAAGTCTAGGGGAGGTGGGAAAAGTGGAGAGAGTATGGCGGACGCATGCTGGTTGGAACATGCGGTTAAGTACCTTGAAATACTTTCCGAAATGCACATAAACAACGGGTACGAAACGTGAATGCGAGAGTAGATAGAGTAAACACTAACCTAGCATAAACGGACGGTATTGGGGGCAGACGAACTTGCTGAATCCTCCGCCGGTTTGTGATGCGATGACAAGAAAATTCGAAAATTAAAGTAGACCATCCGCCAGTAGTAGTTTAACTGGTATCCAGGAGAGTAAAATCTCTCAGGAAAAGTTAGTATTTTAATGGGAAAATGAGTTGGGACAGTGGTATATGACTGGAACATAGTCGTTTCAGGAACGTTCGAGATCACACAACGCGCGCACCTACTTTCCCATTGGCCAGCGGAACCGATCTACTAATCAGGACAGCTGACTAGTCGTTCTGATACTTAAAGATTCTTGGGTTGACTTATAAATACCTACTGATTGCACATTACTTGTCTCCGTTTCGGTAACTGTTCAACGGCAAGTTTTTGCTTCCTAGCATTGACTTCTGATTTCCGCTGAGATTCGAAACTAGCTGCGGACGAGTTCAGTCCAATCGAAGTACTATGCCAAAACGAAGATTCAACAGCTGATGAGCCAATACTTGCAACATGTTGAGTTGAGAGCACGTTCGTCAACCTCACGCACCCATTGGTTTGAATAGGTCTACCAAGACAAACTAGCACATCCGTGTCATGCTGGCTGGCGCAGAAACTGCCTATACTGTGAGCTGTTCACCAAACACTGGTGTGCAAACTTTTTGTTGGCTGTTGAACGGTTCGCTGAGCTTGGCAATTTTGTTGCAAACGTTTCGTCACCAATCGAGGTGACATCATCAGTGCGTAGTGGAGTGGCGTGCAATAGCGTAGAGTAGCGTAGAGGAGCCTCGGCGAGGCAACGGGATCAGAGTTATCTGTCCTCAGTAACGTGGCTACGACCAATACAGACTCCGTACTTGTTTCCATGATCAAAAACTGACAGTTTAGTAAGTAAAGACCGTTGACAAGCTCGCAAAGCTCCGTAAAACTTGTGAAGAGCTCATCTCCGAAACAGCGCCACCGTGTGGGCATCCTCTCCTACTTGAAACAGCTGTTGTGTCAAGGCCAACCTAAGCTCTCCCCAGTGACACTATTGTAGCCACCCTCTCAAGTCGCACTGACTTCAGCTGAGCTGTCCTCACATTACTGCTAATCTGCGTCACCCACCGAAACATTGGGTTTCCGCTGTCTCCTTGTCACTGATGGACAAACGCCACTTGATCCCGTCGGATTCCAGACACAGTGAAGAACGCCAATTCCTTGGTCGAAAGTTGCGCAGGCGTCTGCAAATGGACCGCGAAGCTTGGTGGTGTGAACATGCTAGGCAGATGGAGCTTGCTAGTCTCTCTGGTAATACCAGGAAACTTTTCTATCTCATTCGACTCACCGAAGGCGTTCGATCTGGTATAAGTGAAACAATATGCGAAGAGAATTCCATCTTAATCACCAACCTGCCATGACGGTTGGAGCTATGGGCCGAACATTTTGGCTCGCGGTTTTGTTGGCCCCAGTTACACCTGCTACCTTTGGCGCTCGCGCTGGGGCCGAGTGGTCTACTCCCACAGCTCCTCCCTCTTACCAGGATCTCGAGCAGGAGCATCAGCACATGAAGCGTTATAAATCCAAGGTCTTGATTGTCTTCCTTCAGCTATAGTTAAAGGTGGCGCTACGCTGGTTCGAGAACTCACTACTTTGTTCTCGAAAATTTGGTCGAAAGAGAAAGTTCCATCATCTTGGGGTGAATCGATAGTCGTCCCCATCTTCAAAAAGGGCCTGCGCACAATGTGCTCCAACTACAGAGGCATAAGCTTAGTCCCCGTCGTTTACAAGCTGCTGGTGTCCATCATACTTCGCAGGCTATTCCCAACGCGCGAATCGTTGCAACGAGAAGAACAAGCTGTGTTGCGCCGTGGTCGCGGCCGCATCGATCAAATCTTCCCACTCCGCCAAATCCTCGAGCTCCACCATGTGTATCAGAGGCCAATGATTGCTGTGTTCTTGGATATCCGTGTAGCCTTCAATTCTGTCAATCGTACAGTACTGTGGCATTGCCTTCTGAGGAATGGTGTCCCGGAGAAGTTCCCCTCCATACTGCGCGCTCTATATAGTCTGACCTCGGGCAGGGTTAGGGCTTATGGCAAACTTTCGCCTTCCTTTGTGGTCTCCAGTGGAGCTCGACAAGGATGCCCTATCTCTCCGTTCCTATTCAACTTTGCCATTGAGGATGTCCTGAAGAACGCTCTGGGAGATTCGTTGAACGCTGGCGTTGAGCTCCTCCCAGGTAGTCGAGTTGTTGATTTGCCGTATGCTGATGATATCGTCTTGCTAGGTGACGATTCACACTTCGTCCAACTTGCCCTAAACCGCTTGGCGATTGAAGCATCAAAGTATGATGTGTACTTTTCGCCATCCAAATGCAAGACTCACTTCCAAGACTGGCAGGTGCCTCTGACTGCACTCACTCTTGGTGGTGAAACACTGGAGGTTGTGGAGAGCTTTGTCTACTTGGGAAGTTGCATCACTGCTGGTGGGGCTGTTGGAGAAGAGATTTCGATGCACATCACAAGAGCACGCCTCGCTTTTTCTAGGCTGGGGCACTTGCGGCGTCGCCACGACATTCGTCTCTCCATCGAAGGGCGGGACCATTGTGCAACTGTTCGTGCTGTACTGTTGTACGGATGCGAGACCTGGCCCATTCGTAAAGGTGACTTGCGCAGACTATCCATCTTCGAGCACCGCTGTCTGTGGTTCATTGCCTGTGTGTGGTGGCGGCACACCAGTCAGTAGACGAACTCTTGCAATTGGTCAGACTTTCTTTTCTGGCTCTCGGTGTAGCTGTACGAGTTTACGCGTCTTGTCTCCAGTTTCAGCTTGTATGTAAACAATTCCGACGGCTAGGTTTCTTGGCCCGTGTCAATCCGAATTCATTTGGCGACTCAGTGGGTGGGATACTATTGGATAAAAGCGTCACGTCTGTTCCAACCAGAAGGATAAAAACAACCAGGACTTTGGTAACACGAACAGAAGAGTCCTTATTGATTCAAGACGCCGTATTGAGACTAACAAAGCTTAAGCTTGATCTCTGCGTCAATAGTAAAAGATTTCAGGACATTTGGCGTTACTAAGGACTAGAAAGCCTACAAACCCTTCAAGCAAGCAAAATTAAAGGTAAACGATAGTTTCGACAGTAAATGTGCCGCAAAACACTACGAAATGTAGGAAGGCTAGGCAATTTAAAAGCACTCTGATCTGCTTCGGAAAGTGCAGACCCCAGAAAACCATTCAAACTCAACGATGACCTCATATAAGAAACATGGTTGCATATACCATACAAGATCGCAGTAAACGTCTTCCAAAATGACACGTTAGCAAATGAAGTTGGGACAGTCGAGAAGATTCGGAACGAGTTCAACTAACATTCGCACGCCAATATCGCCGGTGAATAACTGTACGTAATTTGTATAGTGGACTATAGTATTGCCTTGAACCCATGGGACACAACGACCACCGCATCACGCCAAGCACAGAGACGTGTCGCCTGGGACTACAAGTAACACAACAGTTCCCAGTTCCCCAAGCAAACAGAGATGAAAAGTAGAGTCGGTATTACCGACAATTCGGTTCCGAGGTCCGATCAGGTCCAAACCCCTGTTCGTTAGTCACAAGGAGGTGAACAAACAGGAAAGTCAAAAATGGTCAAAACAGACGCAAGTTCATCGTCAAGAACTGCTAACCGGAGAGTTCTACCTTGTCAATACTGGTGCAGAAGTTGTCTTCCACTGTTCGGCGAAAAGGCCAAACAGTGACCATGAACTTGCACGCTGCCAACGGAGCAACTATTTCCGCCTATAATTGACATGTTCATACGCTAATCCTAAAATGAAGCTATCATCTTAAAGCAGCTATCTCATCCCCACTGTTCAACCCCTCAGTAGGGAAACAGATGACATTCAGGGACTCAATTTAATGGTCGATATCGTGCTGGTGTGTTGTCCACCCAGCTAAGAATAATTCCGCACCAAAATTTCCGGTAACATTGCAGAGCTCATCCCAGGGTACGCAAGCGCCAATTCATTGGTCGATAAGTCACTTCTAGAAGGTCTCCAACATCTCTCCCGATATATCTCGCTCTTTCCAATGGCCATTGGCTCTAACTAACACTAGAGGCCTACTATCCTTTGTGAAGGTTCACGGACTAATCATGGACAAGTCCAGGATCACTCGTGCCAAACCAGACTAGAAACTTGGGTTGAATTGTATCTCTGTCCAAGAGCCATTGGTGTTAGAAAAGAAGGTGGACTGGATGTTACGTTGAGGGTACCGTGTGGCCGATATCCAATAGGCGTACGCAGAGAATTAAGGGAGAGCTTTAAGGACGTGTGTTATGAAGGAGATCCGTGGTCTGGTGATCAAGGCATAGACTGCTTAACCATTAAGCTACAAGTTCTACGGCATCTCAAGCCATTTCCACCTGATAAGTCCAAAGGAGGACGAAACCGGTTATGGGTGTCAGTGTTGAGAGGAGAAAAATCAAAATCCCTCCACTTTGGATACGGTCCTTTTGATCGGAATGACCGAGGTCTACTTCAAATGGAACCTGGGTCACAAAAAAGAATGCGTATCATAATTAGACCACACGGTGGTTACTCCGAAACCCTTTGAGCGCCCTAGAAAAATCTGGCTCTACTGATTTCAGTAAGCTCTTCAGATACTTCAAATCAACTGAGTAGAAACCGCAAAAAACGCTATTATTCATTACAAATACGAAATGATGGGTCAGGAAGTGCACACCGAACATGCTAAAATTCCAGATATTGCCGAGACAACTAAACAACAGAAACAGCAACAACAAGAAGAATAACAGCAACAACAACAATAGCAACAGTATGTCAGCCATTTAAATTGGCGCTTC